CACATGGGATGGGGGATATGGAGGAGTGACCAAAAGTTGCCTAACAACCCAGAAGTCCCTCTAGTGGCCGTCTGGTAGCCAGCCACTAGAGGTGGAGTTAACTCATAAAGATAATTATTGCACTTGCAGTAGTTACCTTTACACGGTTAAGGGACCTAGGACACTGAACCCAGACCACTTCAATGCGCTTAATTGGTCTGGGTGCCTATAGTATCCCTTTAAACATGTCAGTAAACATATATATAAAAACATATTAAAGTAATTAATCAATTACACATGTCATTGCAGTTACTACGACATCAGGCGGATGGTGAAGAGGAAGGTGAAGGCAGCAGCCGCCTCCAGGAAGACAGGAGGCGGTTCACAAGAACCGGACCTGCAGCCCTACGAAGAGGAGCTCCTGCAGTTCCTGGGAAGAGACAACCTCCTTGGGATTGAGGGGACAACTGGCACTGAAACATCTGAAGGTACGATGTTAAAGGACCACTATAGTGCCAGGAAAACATACTCTTTTTCCTGGCACTGTAGGGTAATTAGGTCCCTCCCCACCCTCGTGGTCCCCTTCCACTTCAGCCACTTACCTTTCTCCAACCCCTTCAGCCACTTACCTTTCTCCAGCGTTGGGCTCCCTCTGCGCTGGGGAATACTCCTCCCTCTGCCGACGTCAGCTCCGAATGCGCAGCAAGAGCCGTGCGCGCATTCAAACCACCCATAGGAAAGCATTACTCAATGCTTTCCTATGGACGTCCAGCATCTTCTCACTGTGATTTTCACAGTGAGAATCACGGAAGCGCCTCTTGTGGCTGTCTCACTTTCTCTAGAACTGCTATGTTTTCAGCTGCAGGCTTTAAACTAGAGGGACCTGGCACCTAAACCACTTCATTGAGCTGAAGTGGTCTGGGTGCCTATAGTGGTCCTTTAAATTTATATTTGTTAGTCGAAATGTACATATATCAGTTTACTTGTGTTAACCTTCCAGTGTGTGTTTTCTATGCCACCAGTGCAAGCCCCTCAATCCCCAGAAGAGGCACCAGGAACTGCAGCTGATGCTGTCTCCATGGTTCACCTCCTGTCTCCCTGGAAATGCGCCTGGCTTCTATGTATACTATGTCTATGGGGGCCCACACCCTCAGGGTCCACCTCCCGTGGCGGTGAAGTGGTTTAAACCCCTCTTCTCCCCGTCCGACGTCAGCTCCTGAGTGGAGTGGAATGCACATTTGAAGAGTCCATAGGAAAGCATTTCTCAATGCTTTGCTATGGATGCTCTGCGCGATGGATGCAAAATTCGCATCCAGCGTCGCAGATGTGCCTCTAGCGGCTGCCCAGAAGACAGCCACTAGAGCAGGGATAGGCAACCTTCGGCACTCCCGATGTTTTGGACTACATGCCCCATAATGCTCTTACACCTGTAATGCTGGCATAGCATCATGGGAGGTGTAGTCCAAAACATCTGCAGTGCCGAAGGTTGCCTATACCTGTACTAGAGGCTGGATTAACCCCTAATGTAAACATATCAGTTTCTCTGAAACTGATATGTTTACATCTGAAGAGTTCAAACCTGAGGGACCTGGCATCCAGACCACTTAATTGAGCTGAAGTGGTCTGGGTGACTATAGTGTCACTTTAATAATCTCTAGGTACAGAAAATATTTCAAATTTTTAACTGTAAAAAAACACATTAAAATACATAACTCAAGTTTCACACAACTGGACCCCCCACATTCAACATATCCCCAGATAGCTTGGATCTAAGTGCTCAATATATCCGAACAGCACTCTGATCCCATGAACACAGTCGAATTGCCATGGAGTTAAAGGACCATTAAAGTGCAAGGAAAACAAACTGGCACTATAGGATCTTTAGGGCCCCCCCACCCTCTGCCCCCCCCCACACCCTGCTGGGCTGAAGGGGGAGGAAGGGGTTAATCACTTACCTTTTTCCAGCGCCGGGCTCCCTCTGCGCTCGGGAAATCTCCCTCTTCCGACGTCAGTGCTGAATGCGCATGCGCGGCAAGTGCCGCTCACGCATTAAATCAGTCCATAGGAAAGCATTACTGTAACGGATCGCCTGGCACCCACGACTGGGTACCTCCAAAGGTGAAGTAGAACTGAAGTTTTAATGAAACACTCAGCTTTTATGCCCATTTTCTACCCATAATACCGCCCACAGGGTTTTGTAAGATGACCAATAAAACATGTAAATTATAGTAAAACACTCCCAGCAATTACACACAAATCCTCCCCTCTGCCTGTGATATAATTACTGAACACAATGGGTTAAAGTAATTATCACTGGCAGGAAAAATATACTTTTTACACTGTTACTGTAACTTTAAAAATATACATCCAATCTTCCTAAAAGTAACATATTAGTATTCAGCATACTTTACTAAACATAGTCAAAATTCAGCCAATTCCATGCAGGGGTTAAAAAGTTAGCTGGAGGTCCCTTTATGACCGATTTCAGGCATAAAAATGACTAAGTCCCATTCGAATGCACGAACGGGGCCGTTCGTGCAATTGGCTCAGTAGCAATGCAAGAGTTCAAATAGCCAAACTGTACCGAACTGCGACCACCCAGCCGTTTGTCAATTAGGTCAATTACTTGTGGTTAACCACAGCTTCTGGGAGGTTAACAGGCTGCACACTCCCATGGCGTGTGGTCTGGCTGTTCGGCAGTTTATTCGGTAAAATAAAAGGGAATAAATAGGGCTAAATTCACGAACGGCATACGAAAAAAAGGGCACTGGTATCCACAAAACTGGGGTTTTGTCAATTACTTACTACAGGGAGTGCAGAATTATTAGGCAAGTTGTATTTTTGAGGATTAATTTTATTATTGAACAACAACCATGTTCTCAATGAACCCAAAAAACTCATTAATATCAAAGCTGAATATTTTTGGAAGTAGTTTTTAGTTTGTTTTTAGTTATAGCTATGTTAGGGGGATATCTGTGTGTGCAGGTGACTATTACTGTGCATAATTATTAGGCAACTTAACAAAAAACAAATATATACCCATTTCAATTATTTATTATTACCAGTGAAACCAATATAACATCTCAACATTCACAAATATACATTTCTGACATTCAAAAACAAAACAAAAACAATTCAGTGACCAATATAGCCACCTTTCTTTGCAAGGACACTCAAAAGCCTGCCATCCATGGATTCTGTCAGTGTTTTGATCTGTTCACCATCAACATTGCGTGCAGCAGCAACCACAGCCTCCCAGACACTGTTCAGAGAGGTGTACTGTTTTCCCTCCTTGTAAATCTCACATTTGATGATGGACCACAGGTTCTCAATGGGGTTCAGATCAGGTGAACAAGGAGGCCATGTCATTAGATTTTCTTCTTTTATACCCTTTCTTGCCAGCCATGCTGTGGAGTACTTGGACGCGTGTGATGGAGCATTGTCCTGCATGAAAATCATGTTTTTCTTGAAGGATGCAGACTTCTTCCTGTACCACTGCTTGAAGAAGGTGTCTTCCAGGAACTGGCAGTAGGACTGGGAGTTGAGCTTGACTCCATCCTCAACCCGAAAAGGCCCCACAAGCTCATCTTTGATGATACCAGCCCAAACCAGTACTCCACCTCCACCTTGCTGGCGTCTGAGTCGGACTGGAGCTCTCTGCCCTTTACCAATCCAGCCACGGGCCCATCCATCTGGCCCATCAAGACTCACTCTCATTTCATCAGTCCATAAAACCTTAGAAAAATCAGTCTTGAGATATTTCTTGGCCCAGTCTTGACGTTTCAGCTTGTGTGTCTTGTTCAGTGGTGGTCGTCTTTCAGCCTTTCTTACCTTGGCCATGTCTCTGAGTATTGCACACCTTGTGCTTTTGGGCACTCCAGTGATGTTGCAGCTCTGAAATATGGCCAAACTGGTGGCAAGTGGCATCGTGGCAGCTGCACGCTTGACTTTTCTCAGTTCATGGGCAGTTATTTTGCGCCTTGGTTTTTCCACACGCTTCTTGCGACCCTGTTGACTATTTTGAATGAAACGCTTGATTGTTCGATGATCACGCTTCAGAAGCTTTGCAATTTTAAGAGTGCTGCATCCCTCTGCAAGATATCTCACTATTTTTGACTTTTCTGAGCCTGTCAAGTCCTTCTTTTGACCCATTTTGCCAAAGGAAAGGAAGTTGCCTAATAATTATGCACACCTGATATAGGGTGTTGATGTCATTAGACCACACCCCTTCTCATTACAGAGATGCACTGTGACAGAACCATCTGTCTGCTGGATTTTTGCCCGTTCGTCTGTTTGTCCCCGTTCGTATGAATGGTTGGTTTCTATAGCCCAGCCATTCAAATGACTCTTTTTCCCGAACAAAACCGCCGAACGAACGGCCACCCAAGTGAGGAGTGTGCTGCAGGTTAACGAAGTGATCACCATTATAACGTTGTGGTTAACCGCAGACACTTCTCAATTAAACCGAACTCAGGGTGGTCGTCGTTCGTATGTCGACCACGAGGCAGCGGCCATTTTAAATCATGCGAACGCTCAGCGGTGTTTGGCTCTATTTCTATGGAACGGAAAACGGACACTTTTTCTGTCGAACACCGCTGAAACAAGGGAACGCCTGGCTGCCTCCACGAAAGCATGCGAACATCGGCCGTTCGGGAGATTGAGAACATACAAAAGACCTAACCCAGATAGCCCACCCATGGAGTCATTCGTGTACCGAAGGACTGTAAGAACTTTGACTCCATGGCGATTGAACTATGTGTGTGGGATCTGAGCGCTATTCGCCAATAATATGCACTCAGACCCAGGCTATCTGGGGACATGTAATACGAATGGGAAATGTTCAGTTTTCATGTAGTTATGCATTTTTGTGTCTTTTATTATTTCATGTTTAAGATGGCGACTGTCCTTGTCCTGGAGTTAATTGAGTTACTTGGTAATTAACTCCAGGACAGAGGGGAGGGAATCAGAATGCACTGTGGGTAAAATATGTGACTGTGTGTCTGAAATGTCCTTCCAGCTGTCTGTAATTTAAGTCTTCCATTTGGTCCCCTAGGGGAGTGTCCACCAGGTGGGAGACCTGCATAAATACGGGCAGGTAGCCCACAGTAAACCCAGATCTTATTTGACCCTCAATGCGGAGCTTCTGTCTCGTTATTGGGGGGATTTCTTCTTCACGTTTAGAGACTGCTGGATGGAACGAAAGCCGCTTTGGGGATATTATTGTTCGACGGTTCCTAGCAGTTCGTATATTGCCGTTCGGGAGTTTGGAGCCGTTCGTGGATTTCGATCGGGAGATTGCCGCTTCCCCTGCATTTGGTTCGTGGGTTACAGAGTAAGCGAACAGAGACTGTACTGCAGCCGGGGAAGGTTTACTAAACGGCGGTTTGGCTTAAAGACACGGGAGGTGTCTTAACATGCACATCACCTAATATGCTTAATTGGTAGTAGGCTTTCGAGCTTATACAGCTTGGAGTAAGACAACATGCATAAAGAGGATGATGTGGTCAAAATACTAATTTGCCTAATAATTCTGCACTCCCTGTACACAGTAAAAGATATATAAAAATAAATCTGATATAGAATTCTATATACCCCAAGGCCTGCTAGCGGACACAGCCAGAGGGGAGAAACCAGTACCACTGTAAGGGAGATTTTAAAGTATTGGGGAGGAGGGAGAGAATGAAAAATAAGGAGGAATGAGAAAAAAAAGATGTTTTGCCACCACCAACAGCAAAATAGAAAGAAATTAAATGGTAAAGAGGAGTGAGTGGGCAATTGGTGACCTACTCACCTGTTTCATCCCCAGGGCATCCAAACTCCTTCGGTCCTTGGCGTGGGGAGCGGACCTCCAGAGCTCAAACACAATGCCCTAGCGTTAACTGACTGCGCTGGCGGAGGTAGCAGGCGTTGCCACACCGCTGGCAGACACAGCCAGAGGGGAGAAACCAGTACCACTGTAAGGGAGATTTTAAGGTATTGGAGAGGGGGGAGAGAATGAAAAATGAGGAGGAAGGAGAAAAAAAAGATGTTTTGCCACCACCAACAGCAAAATAGGAAGAAATAAAATGGTAAAGAGGAGTGAGTGGGCAATTGGCGACCCACTCACCTGTTTCATCCCCAGGGCAGAGCATCCAAAGTCCTTCAGTCCTTGGCGTGGGGAGCGGTCCTCCAGAGCTCAAACACAATGCCCTGGCGTTAACTGACTGCGCTGGCGGAGGTAGCAGGCGTTGCCACACCGCTATCACACACAGCCAGAGGGGAGAAACCAGTACCACTTTAAGGGAGATTTTAAGGTATTGGGGAGGGGGAGAGAATAAAAAATGAGGAATGAGAAAAAAAAGATGTTTTGCCACCACCAACAGCAAAATAGAAAGAAATTAAATGGTAAAGAGGAGTGAGTGGGCAATTGGCAACCCACTCACCTGTTTCATCCCCAGGACAGAGCATCCAAACTCCTTCGGTCCTTGGCGTGGGGAGCGGACCTCCAGAGCTCAAACACAATGCCCTAGCGTTAACTGACTGCACTGGCATTTTAAGGATTTGGGGGGTTGGGGAGAGAATGGAAGAATAAGGAGGAATGAGAAATAAAATAAATATTTTGTCGCCACCAATTTTATACAATTAGAAAGAAAGTTGAGAAACCCTAAGCTCAATTACAGTCAAAGTGTAGACAAGTGCAGGGTACCCCAATTTAGGCAAATTGAATTTAAGAAAGGCAATCTGCTCCATGAGATGAGGTGACATTTGTGAGCGCTGTGGATTCAGTATATTAGCGGTTACCGAAAACACACGCTCACTTGGGACAGTGGTTGGCGGACATGATAGCAGCTCCTGTGCAGGCCACACAATCTTCTTCTCATCCCAATAGCTAAGAGGGTCGACATTATGGGGCAAAGGAGGTTCAGAGAGGTACGCTCTGACCATTTCTGAGGCAGTACTCTCCTGTCGGCTGCTAGCACTCTCAGTGGGTCCAACTATATCCTCAAGCAACTCTTCCGAAAATGCAGCTGCTCCACTCAGATGTGTGGTGGTGGTGGTGGTAGTGCCACTGCTTCTGCTAGAAGTAGCCGACATCTCAGCCTCCTGCTGAACTACTCCCTCAGAGAGCATTCCCCTCTTTTGCTGCCAGTCACACACCCTCTGGATCAGTTTCTCCCTCCAATTTGTTAAATTATTGGATCTGAGTGCAAGCTTTCCCTTAATCCTTGGATCACACAGGCAAGCTAGTATCCGTTCAGGATAATTATCCATTCGCTCACGTAGGCGAACTTTAAGCTGATCCTTCAGCCTCCTGACCAGAGTTACTACATCAGGATGTAAAGGATCACCTTGAACAACCTCTTGGCGTTCAAGGAAGACACCCATCTTGCTCTTTAGATGGGTGAAAACAGGGATTACCTGTCCCAGATTGGCAGTGTTCAATCTTAAATTTTCAGTGGCATCCCTGAATGGTTTCAGGACTGCCACTAGCTGAGCGATCACTGTCCAATCGTCTCTACCTAGTGGAGAACCAATACCGATGTATTGGTCTGATGCCAGACTATGGATTGCCCTCTGCTGCTCTAAAATCCTCTCCAGCATCTCCACAGTAGAGTTCCACCGTGTACTGACATCTTGTCGTAGACAGTGTGTGGGAAGACCTGCCTTCTCTTGTTCCTGCCTCAACAGTTGGCTAGCCTTCACACTGTGGTGGAAGTGCCCAGCAATCCTCCTACACCCTTCAATCACACTGGAAACTCTGTTATTACCTTCTGGGATTGCTGACTTTACTACTAGATGGATAATGTGCGCTGCACAGCGCACACCAACAAGGTTACCATCACGCAAAGCTTTCACCATATTTGTAGCTCCATCAGTAACCACAAACCCCACTTCTACATTGGTGCCTGCCTCCGCTCCAAACCAAAGAGACACCATCCTCCTTACTGCCTGTAGAATGTTATCTGAAGTGTGTTTTTCATCCATCACATCAGCATGGAGAAGGAAAGAGCAAAAGCCCAGCTGATCTACAGATACACTTCCTCCCTTTCTGCTAGACACTGCTGCTGTAGTTGCAGCAGCAGCTTCCTGAGACACACCAGGCTCCCACCAGTGTGCTGTCAGGGAAAGAAAAGTATGCTGGCCACTTGGTGCACTCCACAAATCTGTGGTAAAATGCACAGACTGACCAGCAGCCTTCGAAAGCTTTCACTACTCCAGGACAGGTAAAGTGAAGGGATTATCCTCCTGCTGAAAGTGGAGCATGAGGGAAGATGGTATTGTGGAGCCACAGCCTCCATCAACTGTTTGAAAGGCTCCCCTTCTATCATAGAAAAAGAAGCACCCCCAACAGCAATTAACTGGCCAATAAGTCGCGTAATTTTATTGGACTGCTGTTTAGACATAGCTCTGGAGTGGAATCCTCCAAATTGTTCCAGGGTGGGCTGGACACAGTCTTGGTTGTTGACTGGCAGCACCAGTAGCTCTTGGCTCTGCAACATCTCCCCTGTCACTCCTAGCTGCCATGGTACTGGACACTGTAATAGTAGCAGCTATGCTGCCTGCCCTAGTACTTTCTGCCTCTTCCCTCAATAACACAGCCTTGTGATGGCTGCAAAGGTGATGGTTCATCCCTGCACTGGTGAGATGACCCAACACTCTCCCCCTGCTAACTTCCTTCCCACAAAGTTTGCACTTTGCAAAGCGCCCATCTCCAACACTTTCAAAGTGATCCCAGACTCTGCTGCGGCGCAAAACATTGGCGCTTGCCCTTCGGGATTCTGCTGCTAATGGTGCAGGTTGATGAGCAGCAGGAGGAGTCTGACTACTGGTAGCTGGCACAGTAGCCTCGGCACTGGTACTGTGGCTAGTAGTACCAGTGGTGGTGGTGATTGTTGGCACAGTTACACTGGTGGTGGTAAATGTGCCACTGCGAGGAGAAACAGTGGATCTGGAAATAGTAGTGGTAATAATTGATTGTGGTGGTGGTCTGCTAATGGTTGAAGTAGCACTAGCAGGTGCTACTATTGGAGAAAGTGGAGAGGAAGGGGAAAATATGCACTTGTAGCAGGAGAAAAGGTTGGACTGCTTCCTGAAGAATTCTGACTTAACTCTATCTCCTCCTCACTCTCAGGCTCATAGTCAAGCTCTTCATCAGCCAGACTAAATGCAATCCCTGCAAGGCTGGGGGTAAGACTGATATCACCTCCAGGAATAATAGGACTAGGAGTACGGGGTAGCATTGGCAATGGCAACAACTCCTGTGCTGATGTGCTGATGTGCTGCTGTCAGTGGTAGAAGCAGGCGCAGCACTGGTGGTGGTGGAAGTGGTGGTCTTGGGAGGGGGATTAGGAAACAGCCTCCGTATACAAGAAGGAAGCTTCTTAGCAGCACGACTCACAGGCCTGCTTGTGGTAGAGGAAGATGCTGTGGGCAAAACACGCTTCCTCTTACTTATTGGGCTACTCCTACTACTAGTTCGGTTTTTAGTAATAGTACTAGCCATAGTGCTCACCCTTAAAAGCCCTGCTGGTTTCCCTTTGCCATAGAAAAGACTTGCAATTCTGGGCCTTGCTGCACTGCTGCCTGCTATTGGTGCCTTTCCTTGACCAGGATCTTGTACCAACGGGCCTGAAATGCGAGACAAAGACTTTGGCCTCCTAGGTGGTTAGTCTGACATAGCGGCACTCCTTGACCGCTTAGGCTGACGCATAGGCTGCTTACTCAAACTACCATTACTTGTGGTGGTGGTGGTATTGGTGGTGGTGATGGTTGCTGACTGGCCCTCCCTCACTTTACTAGTGGATGAAGGTTTAGGAGGATCCATTTAGAATTTTAAAATAGTAAGAAAAGAAAAGAAAGAGATAATGTAATGTATGTAGTGTTTTGAAACTAACGTTTATATTTTTATTAAAAAGGATTATTTGAAGTTTGGAGCTCTGCTAATATATAGATCAACACAGTTCAAAAAAAAAATAGAGACTAGTACTGAGACAGATTTCTTCACTCTAGTGCTTTTTGAGGAACTATGGAAAACTGCACTGTCTGGCGTGAGCAATCTGCCAACAAGTGCTGCCTGCTCAACTACTGCAGTGCAAACAGAGTATGAAAAAAATGTACTAATATAGAAAAATAAAATAATAAAAGATTTCCTACAGCTACCTTGAAGCTTAGGTTAGGACAGTCTCACAGTCAATCTATCAGGAACTAAAATAAACCAAATAAAAACAGCAACCAGTTAGCTTCACTGATTGCTGTTAAACAAACACACTAACTGAACTAATAAAAATCAGTTAATGAAAAAAGAAATTTCTTCACAACAGCAGTCAGAACAGTTAACTTCAC